GCCCTTTCCGTCACCATGAGGAAACGAAAGGTCATATGTTGGTGATGACCTTTTCAGCTACACAATCAAGGGCGCCAAATATGCATTCGTTGGTTGTGGTTTGTTGCAGGTGTTCTAAAGTTCCAGCTGCCTTCACTGCAATAGGAAGTCAGGGCGCTGTTTGGTATTAATGATAGACAGGTTTCAGAAGGATCGTCATTGGCTGTGCTAGACGCAGGTCCCGAGACAGACGCCTTACTTGGTGCCTTGACGCCGGTTCGCAGTCTGGTATGTTGAGGCTCAACTGAAGAGTTCGTGTCTATCGTAGCACACATGCTCCTTGGTGACATAGTGTGCACGATGCACACGACAAAGGACTAAGTTGATGGCCCTGAAATACGACATGCACCAGGCGACACTGTTACAAAGAATGTTTCCAGCTGACATTATAAGCCCAGAGAGAGCGTGTTTGCGCGCCCGTCACATCGGTGAAACCGAACGAGGCAACATGGCTCAAGGAGCTGAAAGACGAAGTGCAGGCATGATCAAGCCTTCGGTCGGATGCTTTAGTCATGCTGCCGTTCAGGATCTGGTGACGATCAAGAACTTCAACACCATCATGCAGTACTTGGCTGCGAAATCCGAGAGTGTGAATTGTTGGCATTGGACTGCAGTACCAAGTCACACACGTCATGTACTTGAGAAAATTTTATTCTTGCACGACATGTTTATGTGAGCACCAGTGCTGTTCGTTGTCTTGTGACAACCTTGGATGAGATACTCTGTGCTTCCGCCCTAAGGTTACACAAATGACGGGCCATGTAAACCTCAGCCCATAATGCTGGGGAACTGCATATCGGGCCTCAACTGCAAGTGATGAGGTCTATCACAACAGCCTGCTGCAGTTCCATATATCTTCAGCCTCTCGGCGACATTCCTTGCACAGTCCCATACATTGTACTACCAGCTTATGGACACCATTATGATTCACGCTCTCTCTTAAGATGTCACGACTCCCGCTTCTCTCTTCTCTCCTCCTGAATAAGTCTGATTCCTGATCGCTCCCGAGATACGGGAAGTGTGTAACGTTTTTACACGGTTTTCCTTACTCGCCCTGTGAGGGTGAAGTCGTGAGATCCTGCATTTTCATCTCGCAACCCAACACATGTTTGTCTTGGTGCTTCTCTATTCACTTCCCGATTCAGATACCTCTTCGTGCACTTTTCTTACCCCGTGCATTATTGCTCAGCCTTCCGTTCCCGTCCTGTCGGTTCCCTGCCGTCTGTTAATCACATCTAATAGCACTTTCAAACACCATCTCTACACATTTCTAATAAGGCGACTGCTTGGGCTGCTTTTTGAGCCTGCATCTGAAACGGGCGTTTAATCGACGTAAAAAAAAATATGCGATATATCTTGTTTTCTCTGTGAGCGTTCACATTTCTCTCTCGCCGAACACTAGCCGAGTGGTCGAGTTACGCAAAATTTGCTTTTTGACAGCTGCAGTTCCACCGCCTTGTGTAAAGAGTCCCTCAATCACGAGACAATTGGATAATCTGGAACCGCCTGGACGGCAACAGGCATTAGTTTGCCCATCATGTTGTCGTTGCCATTGGTCTACTTGAAGCCGCTTACACGCTCATAGATGGCTACCAGAGCGGTCTGCAAACAAACTACCTCAATATCACAACTTCTGAGACTCTAGAGCTTTCTCGATCCCTGCATAAGAGACCCAACACCAACCCAACGCTTGAAAATCGTTGTATCTTGAGGCAATTATGCAGCGAGCCTGCCTACATTTTGCCTGCCGGGAATCGAACCAGGGTTGGGAAGCCTTACAAGGCAAATGCATCGTGGGGGCTCTTTGCGCCTATCATGGAGACTTCGAAATTACATTGAGGAATGAGTAAACAGCGCAACGAGAATACCCATTGCTGTTGGTACCTTGAGTTAGGCCGACGATGAAAGTGTTGGTAGAGTTCAGTTTGCATTTTTTATCCATGTCAATGTTGGTTCTGCAGTCATCAACCGATGTGAAAGTGTAAATGCTGCGACGGTGACGAGGATGGCATGAGCGGGCGTTCTCAGGCGTATTGACTTCAAGGCAAACAGACGCAGTTTCGGCCTGGGATCCAATGGCTGCAAAATGTCAGAGTCACAGCGCGCAATGCCAATTGCGACTAAGCGACTGTGTGATAATGGTACGTGAGCCAACTCTATCAATGTGCAACGCTTGAGTAACACATCGATGTTGCGTTGCGTGGTCGCATGAAACTACTTGCGCGCCATTGAATCCTACGCCATGGGCACAATCCTGCACATGGGAAGTGAAGCTAGTCAAGGCTGACATGCCTAGAGACTTGAGGCCTAAAAACAACTCTTACACCGATATTACAAGGTCAGCCCGAATGATCAATGATGCTGGAAGGGCTGCTAAATATGCATTCAGCGAAAAATCACTTTTGAGATAGCATCACGCAGACATGACATGCTCAAGACTTTGATACCCGATACTAGCCATGTCGACGTCAGAGACTCTTAGAAACACGCAATATGTTTGACTTGGCGTCAGGTAATTGGATCATCATGAAAGATGGTTGTGCTATGGCTTATCTCATTGATCCTCCCAAGGCAGGGCAATGACAAAATGTGATCGACCACACGTTGTCCATCACAGCAACCTTGGACCAGCAGTGACAGTAGTCGTCTTTGAGTTTAGATCGAAGCCCTTTGGGCATGAGACACAGCACTCTATCATTAGAACTTGAGCCTACCTGTATGCCTGATTACCCAGGTTGAATGAGGGTCTGGTATTCTCGATATTGAGCCTGATGAAGAAAAATTGGTAAATGAACACACCGTAGACTTGGGTTGTATTCATACATGGACACAGGAACTTGTCGTAAACACCGATCAGATCATTTGACTTGAAAAGGGGTTGTCCCTCGGGTTTTAAGCACATTGTTGGATATTGCGCATGCGAAGTTTGCCATTTGCGCTTAGGGCAAAGGAAGTCGTGAATTCTTCATCTACAATTCGTAAAACGTACAGTACTGAACCCCCTGCACGCCCAGGAGGAACATTCGATGTGATCGTACACCTCTAGTTGTCTTCTATCCAGGTCTACCAGATATACACCCCACAGCCAGTCCCCCTTTTCCATCAACGAAATGCCTCGTACTTTTCAGCTGTCTTTCTCTTCTCCTCAACCCGCGCAATTGTCTCAGGATCATATACATCTTCAAGAGCTTTTCCACCCTTGAAGATATCCTTCTCATGTCGAGTGGCTTCATCCTTGGTCATTAACACGAGGTCGTGAAGCTTCACTGTAGAACACTTCTGGATGTTCTTGCCCTCGCCCAAGGTCGTGATACTGCAGCCGCTGGGCTTCTGCCACCGGATAAGGACCAGCTTCGTGGGGATGCCAGTAATGGCACTTCGGCCCTGATAGAGCTCCTCAGAAAGGAAAGCAACGTCACCGACAGTGATGGGGACCTTGAGGCCTATTTGATCGCCCTCATTACCTAATCGTGCCAGCTTCTCCTCATAGCTCTGCAATGTTGCCAGCATGCCCTCGTACATCTTTTCACGGCCCTTGGCAGGTACATAGTCTAAAGGATAGCCTGCAATGCTCAAAATGACATGGTTTGCCACTGTAAGACCAAAGATGGCGGGCATTGTGCCGAGGACGGGAAGAATTCGGACACGGAAGTTGGGCATGGCAGCGAGATCGCCAACGGAGCCTTTCTGGAACTCCTCTTCAGGTAGCGGGAGTAGCTCAGCTTTACCAGCACCTGATGTCTCCGTAGAGTAGACAACGGGGATGCCGCTTGTGATACCCTTCAACTTCAGCTTCCTTCGTGTCGCCCTTGAGAGCCCGTCATCCTTGCTAGCCCCAATGTCTCCCACAATGATTCTTGTAGGGTCGCTTTTGCACCCTGCGCCCATGGCACTAATGACTGGCAGGTTGTTCTTGTAGCAATATTCGAGAAGTGAGACCTTGGTCTCGATGTTGTCGATGGCATCGATAACGAAGTCAGGAGCACGCCCATCTTCGCTCCAGGGTCGAAGTAAGCGCTCTGCAACACCCTCATTAAACTGTTCCTGTTGCAGATCAAATTTCATCCACGGTGCAATGGCAATCAAGCGTCGCTCCAAGCATTGAACTTTGGGAATACCAACATCTGCCAGTGTAGCGACCGCATGTCTGTTCAAGGAGCTCAAAGTCACTTGATCGAAATCTATCAGCCTGATTTTCGAAACACCAGAACGCGCAAGGGCTGCTGTGCAGTGAGAACCAACGCCTCCGCAGCCAACCACAATAACGAACGAGTTCCGTAGTTTATCAAGGCCTTCATCTGTCAAGAAGACCCTGTTCCTCGCCAATTGCTCCAGAATTAGCTCTTCATCAAAATCACCAGCTTGTGCCCTACGGGCTAGAGCCTGATTCCTTGCATCCTCCTTATCAACTGGTGGCGCTGATGAGCCACCAAAGTTATTTAACTATAATCGGTCAGTAAAGGCAGTTTAACGAAGTAAGCTCGAGGTCAGTACAGGTTGAATGTCAGGGTCATCAGCAGGGATTGAGCTCTTGAGTTCATGTACTCTCTCTTCTCGTTCCAACGCTTGATAGCCGAGTAACAATGAAGCCGTAGTAGCTGCTGAGAAGACAGCAGCCGCAAAAAGCTGAAATCTTGGGTTTGAGAACGTGTCCGAGGATAAGAAGGAAGACATTTTAAACACAGTAACGTGATAAAAAGAACGGCTGCTTCTCTCACACCAACAAGTACATTTTAGTCTTCACGATGTGCTCAATCAGATTTTCAAGGTCTTGGCAGAGAATGACGTCTTAGTCAGCAATTTGGAGCTCCAATTGGCTCAATTTTCCAATCACCTACACCAAAATCCTCGTCATGCAAAGACTCGAGATACCATCATTTGACGACGATCTGTAACTATAGCGATTTGGCGACGATTGTATCGAATTGGCGAAATACGCGATCCATAAATACGCAGGCGCCATGCGTCACCGGCTTGTTGGCCGTCATGTCCCGGTTTCAACACCTAGAACACCAACACTTCGTACCCGATTACCATGTCTTCGAACATTTACACATTGCACCCAACTCACCACCAACTCAAGGCCGAACCTCCCCTTCCTTGCGATCCCAGTAACCACCAATGGCGTTAGGACCTTTACCACCGAGAGAAGACAATGGCTGAAGCACGAAGCTAAGCTGGCGGTACGATACACTGCTTCATTTTGGGGTCTCCTAGCCTGTTTCGGCGTGATTCTGTTCTTTGTCAATGAGGAGAGGTTGGAGCAGGAATATCCGACACCACACGAATGGGGTTGGATGACAAGGAAATTCCTAAGGGACTCAAATGACAGCAAGGCGCCGAAGAATGGCGAGACCAATTGGCCTTGGTCGTTCGAGCTGGCTCGAGGATTGGTGTTGAGGTTGGAGGATGCCAAAGTTGACGGCCAGGGTGTAACAAAACTTACAGACAGGGTCGATCCTGAAGCGGAGATCCCTGGGGAATTCAACCCCTGTGATATCTCCGGCAAGAGCGAGGAGTGGCGGAGAGGTTACTTCGAGGCTATTATGCTGGCTGCAAAAGGCGCGGAGCACGTCGATGGATGGGTCCGCGACCTTTCTCGCAACATCATCTCACCACCAGAATTTGTTATTGGACCTTCCAACCCTAGACCTACGCCAATCCCTCCAGGACAACCTCATGCGCCTCGTGAAGAGGACTGTGAAATTGCTTATCCCAGTGCTGATAATTTCTACATGAAGATCCTCGGCACCAAGGGGTTTACTTCTCGACAGAAGCTCGAGGCAACACTCGAATACGCTAGTTATCTGGAGTTCAAGAAGCAGTCCGAAGGCGCTGAGGCACTATACCACCTGGCTCTCGCAGAGGCTACCCAAGGAGTCGACATGTCGCAACCCCTTTACAACCCCAAGACATTCGTGCTCAATGAGAGGGCCGGCTTGCCCTCCCAAAATGTTCTCGATGCCGTCACTGCTATGGCAAACTTCAAAGCACGTAGCGGAAAAGTCGACGCAGTTCTCCCTATTTACCTCTCCCTTCTCAAGGCTCGCCGCTACTTACCTAATGACCCTCCTCCCACTACCCAATTAAAGCCAAAGTCTCACTCCGTGTTCGACAAAGTCGTCAAAACTTTCTCCCAGGCCGATTACCCAACTCCACCACCGGATGGTACCCAGCCTCCCTGGCGCAGCCCTCACGAGCGCTGCCAGGAAGCTTCGCTCAGTCTTTGGATCGGCGAGATCCTCTTCTCCACATCATCTAAGGACGACGGTCTCTCGTGGACGCGTGACAGTGTCGACGTTTCAGAGGAGCAGCTACGGAACATGGATCTTCTAACTGCTGATAAGGCCGCGAAAACTACCTGCCGCGAATGTTTGAGCGCAGGCCTCGCCAACTGGGGTAAGATGGTCAACAAGCTTGCCAAGGAAGAAGAACTCCAGCAAGAAAAGGCTTCTACAAAGTCGGGCGTATTCTCCTTCTGGAGCGCCAACCCACCAAGTTCTAAAGACCGCTGGACCGCAGAGGAAGCTGTGGTCCGGGAGCGTGTGAGGAGGACAAGAGAACTGATTGAGGACCTGACACCAGCCGGGCCCAATATAGCCTCACTGTTCAAAGCGTAAAATAATATAAAACAAAATTTGTATAACGTGGGTAATACCAGGAGCTGTAAAGGATTTTGCCACATCTTTTGAGCACTCCTCGAGACTTGAGATTGGTTCTAGTCTATTTCTAATGAACAAGATATCCCCTTTTCATCATAAACTCCGTTCCTGGTACTTGTCTGCACTCTCCCCGCACATGCACGACCCGACGAGGTCCATTCTTCACGCAACTCCGTCATTATTTCAGTCCTCGTCATCAGAATCGTCGTCGGGTGCCTCGCCAGTCTCCGTAAACTTCTTCCATCGTCTCATCTGCTTGATTTCTTCCTTCATCTTCTCAGGATCAATGCTGGTGACCTCTGGTTTGACCTCCTCTGGCATTTCACTCCATTTCTCATCCGTGATGTCGGTTGGGCGACGCTCTGCAACAGCCATGTCAGGATTGACAAAATTAGGAGTAAGAGCCACTTCTTGCAGGTAAGCGAGGGCTGGTTCGAGAGCCTTGATGAGGATGGTTTCGATGAACTGGTCTTCTCCGCTAGAGAAGCAGGGGCAGCCAAGGGGCTCGATTAGGAGCGACGGGTTTCCTCCGGGCATAGCTAGGGGAGTGTCGAGGGGTTCCTCTGAAATGAGATAGCCACGAGTGCGCTGTGATAGTCAGTGATTTGCGGAACTATAGCCAATACCGGGTGTGGGTTGTACCTTTGCTAGGAACTCTTTGAATTCAGCATTGACGAGCAAATCTGTTGGGAAAACAGTACCCATGAGGAGCATGCCGCCTAGTCGCTCACCCCATTGCGCCCAGTGCTTCTCGTTCTCAAAGAACTGCAAGACAACCTCACAGCTTTGCCCAATAGCAACGATGTCGACCTTGGCATTCTTGTTGACTTCAAGAACCTTGTTGAGCACAGTCGTCATATGCGCCAAAGGTGTCTCGCTTCCAGGGATCTCATTGAGTTTCTTGATGAAACGACGTCCAGAGTGCACCAAACTGGGAAGTGGAATATCAGCTGATGCTTCTATGGTGATAGCACGCTGTTCTTCAGGCCACCAGAACCGCTGGCCCATGTTGGCCAGGACAATGCAAGGAGGTTCCGGATCATTGGGGCTGGCAGCCTGGGTAGCAAGTGACTGAACAACAGAGATCATGGTTCCTTTCGCAAGGCCACCAGGCCCATTGGAGACGCGGCCAGCAATCCATCCCAGATCTTTAGTTGGTTCGCCAAGGATGACGACGATGCGGGTAGTTTTGGCAATGTTGGGGGTGAGGAAGACGGGGGATTGCCGTTTGTTTTCGGGCAAAAGGTGGTATTTCTTGAGGCCTTCTTTCTCGAGGCGATCATGGACGATATCTTCCAGAGCCACTATAGTACTGCTATTAGTAAAGCTACCTTAACGCGGGGCCACCAAGACCAGGCACGTACTGTTGAAGTGGAAGCGCTGGCGCTCATTGACGCGAGAGTTCTTGCTGCTGAAGAACTTGTAGTAACACTCCGGATCCTCAATAGATCGGACCTCATCATCATCATTCACAAAATAACTGCTTCATGTCAGCGATGCATCTTGAAGTAGTCATAGATAGCGAACCCAAGGCCGGCGAGATCTCTCGGAAAGGAGACATCCTTGGGGAGGCCCGACCAACTTCTGAAAAACATAGTGTCGGGTTGGAATGTTCTTCTAAAAAGTGCGAAGTTCTATTATTGTCAAGCTGATGCTTTTCCAATATCTTGGGCAGATAGAAAGAATTTGGGAGGAGGGAAGTTGCATTTAGTAAGTGCTTGCGATTAAATACTCGAAGAAGTGTGAAGAGGGGGTTATGGCAGCTGCACGCAGCCGGCGGAGATGCTGCTCTAATACTGTGATATCCTGCATGAAAGAACTGTAGAGGGTTTGAGCAAACAAATGATCAATATAGGAATTTCTTCGTTCTCGCAGCTTCTTTGTGTTTGTTCAACACTGTGTCTGCCTCGTATGAGAGCAGCAACTCTCCCATCACCAGCTCGGGCATGTAGGAACTACTTGCTACCACTGACCTGGAAGCTTTTGCGAGACTCAAAAACCCCTACAGTACTAGTCATACTCCATATTCAACCGCGTTTCTATCATAGCAAAGATTGAGGTGGGATATCTGTACGACCGTATCCTAAACATTCAAAACATGTGCCTCACCAAACGCCCTAATTAATGCATTTGCCATGCCCAAACGCCATGCCAAAAGAGCATTTTCAAGCAATACAAATTCGAAAACAAACCCTCAAGCCAATCACTGATTGGGGCCAGGGTTGTAACGGCTACGAAAAGCCTGGCTGATGCTGAAGCGGCTTCCTGCGCCCCTGTTCATATGACTGGCCAATGCCTCCTCTAATGCAGACTGTGTAACTGAGGCGTCTAAGACTGTGTGGTGAGCAAACTACACCAAGCGGGCTGAGACTAACAAGGCAACTTACCATCAAGATCACTATAACTACTACCCATACTAGGCGTTCCGTCGCTACCTTCGCGGGAGTAGCCCTTGCTCTGATTGCCCGGGCTACGTCCCGCGAGTTCCGCAGTTCGGCGTGGTGAGAGAGGTCCGGGCGTTCGCTGCTCCGTCGTTTTATCTGATTTATCCGGTTTTTGTACCATGGCCGCAGAGCTGGCTGACGAATCTGATGTGTGAGATTGATGAATGGCGGACTTTCCGTGAGGCCTGTGATGCCTTTTGCCAGAGCTGCGCCCATCTCCCCTTAGCGTTGAGCCGAGGTCCTGTGCCGAAGTCTTGTTGGAAGGAGATGTATATGGTTGAAACGCAGGCTCTGATTCGTCATCCTCGTCATCCTCGTACTGTCCTCCATCGGGCTGCTGAAACCGAGGAGGCCGACGAATGATGCGAGATTGAGCGGGGCTAGACTCGTCCTCTGACGATGTTGGTGAACTGTCCTCGGCCGGGCCTGGTGACGGGCTTCGTTCATCTGGCGCTGGCTCCGGCTGGGCTTCTCGATCGGGTGATCTGTGGGGGACTGATGACATTGGTAAGGATGAAAGACGACGTCGCTCGCCGGTCCGCGAAGCAAACCCTGTTCCAGGTCGAGGGGAAGCTGAGCCTCCGGTCATATCTCTCAGGACTGTAGTATTCGTCGATGGATTCCGCGATACAACCGGTCGTATTGATGCGTTGAGAGGAGTACCGGTACCACTTCCTGCCTCGACGCGCGGCATAGGTGAGTCTTTTCGGATGGATAAGGCTGAATGTGTTCGTTGATGACCGGGTCCGGCGGAGTCGGCGCCTGGAACGGGCGATTGCACTGAGCCACGGACGGCGGCGGTAGCTTTTCGAACTTGAGCGCGGACCTGGGAAGCATGTCGTTCGGTAAGGTACGCTACTTGTTGAAGGAGGAAATCGACGGGAACTTCGAAGCGATCGGCGCTGCACCTCAGATGAGTATTGTCTGTATGATAATTGTGATAAGATCGACACCTACACTTCGTCCCCTTGTTTAGGTCAGCACCAATAAATATACACGGATTGGTGAATACCTACAGTCTATCTGCTTCTTTGCAGCCCCTGAGAGAATCTTCCATAATGCTTCATCTTTGACGGAGTCCCAGTTTACCTGTCATGCTTATGGTTAGCTCTGCCATGATTGCTCAGATGCGCGCAAGGGCATAGGCATGATGGCTTATGATTGACTGGTTGGATCAAGAGCTTCATACCGGTGGCGGATCGACGAAATCACCACGGGGCATAGGTACCCGGACGAAAATCGTATATGTTGGCTCGGCCATGGTGCCGCGCTGGCTATTCAAGAGGATGAGTAGATGAAGAAGGTTGAAAGAAGTAGGCAACAAGCCAAAGCTCTAAGTTCATTGAGAGCTGCAGGGATTCCGCGATCGGCTTATCGATAAGTTAGCTGCCGTTTTAGCGTGGTTCAGTGGAGAGTGTGAAACAGCCGAGTATGGCAGATTTGATTCACGAATCCACTTGAAACTCAAGCTTGGAATTGAAGGCCAGTTATACACTGCAGTAAACGCAATATTACACATGACCTGACGTTTTTCGTGCAAGAATTTTCTTGATGCACATCCTGCTCATGTTTCCGAATCATGCTTGATTCAATTCAGAGACATTGTATTGTATTTTATTCTTTACCTCTTCTACCACGTCCATCCGATCGACTAGTGAGTGACACCAGCTCAGATCTGCTTCCTCATTCGTCGTACTCATGTCGCCATCATAAGGTACTTTGCTTCTGTAGATAAACAATCTACTATCGCTTAGCCATTCCCGCTTTTGAATCCAATAGATAACTTAGGTCTTCTTCCATGTATCTTTCTAATTGTTATCTTCGTGGCACCGTACTATCATCATCCTCGTTTTCCAGATGTGTACCTGCGTTTGGGGTGACACAAACAGCACCGAGCCAAAAAGGCTCTTGTATGCGTTGAAGCGCTAGAGGCACCAGTAGTTTTACCAACAGACTCTTACAAGCCTTGATTTATCGTCTCAATGGCTGGTGGGATATGATATTCGTTGGCGAGAAAGATGGGAACGGAATTTCAGTCTGCTTTAGGGTAGCTTGAACTGACACGATCATCATGGGCAAGATAGGCTAACATCTGACGACAAACCGAACAACTACTTAGGTATCTATCTGTAACTAGAGATATGGAAATCCAGACCCCGGCTCCACGGAAAGTTTCTGAAATAACATGGGCTTTATGAATTCTCAATATCCGTACCCTTATCCGCGCTGTGAGGTGAAAGGTCCCAGTTCATGTTGACTAGCCGAGTGCCGTACTTAGCTTGCCAGCGTTACACTCATTGTTACCCTGTAACTGTATACGGATACACTAATAGACGACGGCAGTCTGATTACACCCAAGCGGCACCTGATTTTCAGGTCGAAACACCCTACACGACTCAGAGAAGACGGAATTATCGATGCTTGACTCATGAAAGCCAACATCAAGAGCATGTCGTCAGGACCAACCCCCTCGACCTTACCCAAGGCGGAAAGGGCGCTAAACGTCTGGTATTGGATGCCCCGCGACTGCTGCCGAGCATGGAAGACACGACCCCGCCGATGTCTTTGCCTCTCAGCCCAGCAGGTACTTGGCTTCTATGGGAATCCATCCAAAAGTCGGAAAGCTTCCCCCATTCAATCTAATCTTTCGCTAGCGGGTGCTTAACCACTTCTATGAAGCCCTCTTTCCGGCAGACTTACTCACATGCCTTTCTTTCGCTTACGTCTTCCATCTCACCATCGCTACAGCATCGAGCTATAAGGTAGCTTCGACAAGATCTCAAGCTACAGCTCTTACATCATCATATCCATACGTTATCGCTATCGTGGAGGTAAAACAACCACATAGCCCTTCGCTATAACCAGCTCCAACCCTCCCCACCAAAGGCGTGCTTGGTTCCGAGTTACTTTTCCCGCAGCTTGACGACAGCAACAGCAACAGCGTCGCAATCGACTATACACCTCTTCAAACCAGGTCAAGGCAGCAACATGGTAGCTTCAGAACTCACCGCGTCTGCCATAGCTATGCGCTCTACGCCCGTCAGTGGCGATGAGTCAAGCTCGAGCTTACCAAAACCCCTCGCGCCTTTGCGAAACCGCGCGGCTGCTAGCCAGAGCCCATACATCCGGGGCCAGGCAGAAAGCCTAGTTTCATGGCAGCTCTTGGACGACGAGGCAGTCGAGCGTTCGCGCAAGGAGAACAAGCTTATCTTCATGCATATCGGCTACAAGGCATGCCACTGTAAGTTGCGTGATGATTAGTTTGGAAGCGAATTTTATTTGCGCTGTGTTGCTAACGGCCACAAGTTTGTCGACTCATGTCAATCGAGACCTTCTCTAACCCAGAGTCTGCCTCTGTATTGAATGAGTCTTTCATACCAGTCATCGTCGATCGAGAGGAGCGCCCCGACTTAGACGCCATCTACATGAATTACGTCCAAGCTGTCAGCAACGTTGGTGGATGGCCCTTGAATGTGTTCCTTACACCCAATTTGGAGCCAGTTTTTGGTGGTACCTACTGGTTCGGGCCCGCAGGACGAAGGCATCTCAGTGACGACAGCACCGAAGAAGTACTCGACTCTCTGACTATTTTTAAGAAAGTTCGTGATATTTGGATCGATCAGGAAGCCCGATGCCGAAAGGAGGCAACCGAGGTTGTTGGCCAGCTCAAGGAATTTGCGGCCGAGGGTACCTTGGGAACAAGGAGTATTTCGGCACCCTCAGCTTTAGGTCCGGCTGGATGGGGAGCACCAGCCCTGAGCCATGCAGGCGCTACCAAGGAGAAGAGCACTGCAGTTTCAGAGGAGTTAGATTTGGATCAGCTGGAAGAGGCTTATACTCATATCGCCGGCACATTTGATCCTGTTTTTGGTGGATTTGGCCTGGCACCGAAGTTCCTGACACCACCCAAGCTGGCATTTTTGCTGGGGCTCCTGAAGTCACCAGGCGCTGTTCAGGATGTTGTTGGAGAGGCCGAGTGCAAACATGCTACCGAAATTGCTTTGGATACAATGCGTCACATTCGTGATGGGGCGCTGCATGACCATATTGGAGGCACTGGGTTTTCGCGCTGCTCCGTCACAGCGGATTGGAGCATTCCTAACTTCGAGAAGCTTGTGGCTGATAATGCGCAATTGCTCTCTCTATATATTGACGCGTGGAAGGTCAGTGGTGGAGGTGAAAAGGACGAGTTTCTGGACGTTGTTCTTGAGCTTGCTGAGTATCTTACTTCGTCTCCCGTTGTTCTGCCTGAGGGTGGTTTCGCTTCAAGTGAAGCCGCCGACTCCTATTATAGGCAAGGTGACAAGGAGAAGCGCGAGGGCGCCTATTATGTCTGGACGCGGCGAGAATTTGATTCAGTCCTTGATGAGATTGACAGCCATATGAGTCCTATTTTAGCGTCCTATTGGAATGTCAATCAAGATGGAAATGTCGAGGAGGAAAACGACCCCAACGACGACTTTATTGACCAGAACATTCTCAGGGTTAAGAGCACCATCGAACAATTGAGCATCCAATTCAGCACGCCCGTGGAAAAGGTCAAGGAGTATATTGAACAAGGAAGACGAGCTCTAAGAAAGAGAAGGGAGCAGGAACGTGTGCGCCCTGAACTGGACGACAAAATTGTTGTAGGCTGGAATGGCCTCGTAATATCAGCTCTTTCCAAGACAGCATCGGCGCTGAGGACACTGAGGCCAGAACAAAGCTTCAAGTGTAGGGCTATCGCAGAGCAGGCGGCTGCATGCATCAGAGAAAGGCTTTGGGATGGCAATGAGAGAATCCTATACAGGATATGGTCTGGAGGTCGCGGAAACACTGCGTTTGCAGACGATTATGCCTATATGATCCAAAGTCTCCTGGATCTTCTCGAACTGACAGGAAACCAAGAATATTTGGAATTTGCTGACATTTTACAGCGTGAGTCGTCACAACTCCCCTCCCATAAACACACCCCGCTGACCATGCCATTAGAAACCCAAACCTCGTTGTTCTATGATGCCGATGGTGCCTTTTTCAGCACTCAAGCCAATAGCCCTTATACAATTCTCCGCCTCAAGGATGGTATGGATACGTCATTACCATCAACCAACGCCGTCAGCGTAGCTAATCTATTCCGCCTCGCGAATCTGCGTTCGAATGACGATTTGGCAGCCAAAGCTCGTCAGACGATAAATGCGTTTGAAGTGGAAGTGGTGCAACATCCTTGGCTCTTCCCTGGTTTACTCCAAGGTGTTGTCACAGCTAGATTGGGTGGAGAGACGTCGAAATGAAATGTTGAACATAAACAGCCCAGGATGGTGGTTCTTATCAAAGCATCTAAATAACTAGGACATAAAGTGTGCGAGTTGTTGGAGTCGGCACAGTCATCCCAAGGCGTTTAAGGGACGGGCGATATTAGGAAAAGAGGAGTTCTGAACAGCGCACAGCATTTTAGGAACTAGTTGATGAGTGAAATTGAATACAGAATAAATATAGACTGTAAGGTTTTTGTTACACTCTGTAAATACGCGTGGGATATTATCAAATTTATCATTTCAGGGGTATCTAATCTACATCGGCTACCGCCCCCTCCCCAAATATTGATCCGTTACGCTCACTGAGCACAAAGGTTCGACAAATACAATATCTTGAAAAGAAAAGGGGATCGTCCATAATTCTTTGTGTGGGCATCTGCTGCTCCTTTCTCAAGATCTAGATGTATCTCCAGTGCCCTTGCGGTTCATCAATCCAGTAAAGAAGCTTTGCAGTTGCTCGTTGTCAAAGTCCTTGGCCATGTTCGCAGCAGGTGTATCGGCCTCCTCCTCTTCGTTACTTGGGGAAGAGCTAAATGCATTACGATCCTGTTCATGTCAGCAACTTATTCAGAGTAGTGAAGTGGCCATGTCTTACCTTGAGCCGTTGCAACATATCATCAGCATCGACTTGGATACCACCCATATTGAACTGTACAGGGCCAATGTGCTCGCTGATGCTTGTCTCATCGCCAGTGTAGTCGATGTGACGAGTGCTGCGAACGATGGCATTGTCGCTGCCCTTCTCTGGCAACTTGGCCTTGAATACCTCGAGAATCTTGAGCTGCTTCTCAAGAAACTCCTGGGTGTCGTCACTCTCCACCGTGATCCACCTCTCGCCGTGCATGGCATTTTCAACAACTGCGAGACCACCACTATTGGGATCGCGGCACCAGCCCTCGTACCGCGCAATGGCACTGTTTAGTTTCCTGATTTCTGCTTCTTTGTCGCTTATCTTGTCTGCATCATCAAAGGGCATAGAGTAAAGATCAATGCCGAGATCTTGAGACCATGTGTTCGAAACAGGCTCCGGGTCAAAAGACTCCCCCAGAACTCGAATTTTGCCCCACGAATCCCAGTTGGTTGGGACGACAATCTTGTCGCGGTCGATAACGTTGTGCTTTAGTGGGTGCCGCTTGAGAAGAGAGGTAATTCCAAGGGTTGAGTGAATGAGAGAGGGTAGCTGAGAAGGCGTATTTTGTGAAGTGTAAATGAGAGAGGCACCATCTAGAGACTGTTAACATTTCGACCAGAGGCTTGGAAACAGGCCAACGTACGTCTCAGCAGAATTGTTCGCAGATATTGTAATACTGTGTCAAAATCCGGCTCTTTCCAACCCTGATTCTTTTCAAGAAACTCCATTTTTTGGGACTGCATGTGTTAGTATAGTCATCGCAGGCCGCGAGAGACAGTTCCTTACATTCTGGCACACCACACAAAGTGGAAGACCTAGAGGCTCCTCCCATTCTCCTCTTCCCAGAGGCAGTGCACTATCTCCATCACCGCCGGTAGCCGCAGCCGATGGTGTTCCATCTAGGTTAGTTGTTGCGCCTCCTCGACCTCTTTCTTTCCAAGTTGACATGACTTCCTCCATGATGGCATGTTGTTCTGCGTCGACCTTTTTGAGGACCTCTTGTATAACCTGAACCCATGTCCATATTTGTCGTAGCCATAGATGCGGCTGTGACCAGTCGAGAAGAATGATAAGAGAGGTATTGGGGATCGTTTCAGGGGTAAGGAGGGGTGCAACGAGAGACGCAAATTCGGCGGAAGGTTGGGAGAGGAAGTAGAGCGAAACTCGTGCCAGAGTATCTAAATTCATTAGTACATCGTTCTGAGCCTGATCTGGGCGTGGATGCACGAACCGTCTTGGTCGGTGTCGAGAACGTCGTAGTATGTATAGCCCAGCGCAAAGTTGTTCGCAATCGGCGGTATCTTAAGCCGGTCCGCATTGCGTTTTGGCTCGGAGCTGGAGAGCGATTCGAGGAACTCTCTTTGGTTCTCGGGAGTGCCACCTGAGTTTCGAAGGCTCATGATCAGCTACCTAGCTCTTCGACCGAGCTGTCTACTAAGTTACCACATACCTAGCACAATGAGGTTCTTTTCCGGTAGTCGTTTGGCGCTGGCAACAGACTCTAGCATAGATGTCCAAAGATCCTTCTTTTGTTCGCCATCGCGGCCCTCGGAATCTCCTGAGCCCGTTGTATAGATCGATACTCTGTTGGTGTTGGCCGCCATGATCCCGGCTGTTGGCTCACCGAGCTCGCTGGTCAACAAATTGTCGTATAAGATCGCAGTGCGTTAGGTCATGAGTATATCTCCCGTGGCGAAAGAGGGCAGAGGTTGTCGGCAAGCCTGCCTCAGATCGACGTCTGAGTAGAGGGACAGTACGCGTTTTGGTGTTGATTCGATAATGCTAAAGGAGATTTAAGGTTGTCGTAGGGGCATCTTCGCTCTGCGTACAACAACGACAGCAGGGAAGATGATGCAAGCTCTCGGCTCGATCGTGAGTATCCCAACCGTCGATAATCGGTTCGAAAAAGTCGCTTCAACTTCCTGGGCAGTTCGTGGTACGTAGATATCGTCGACCGGTGTCTTTCATCAAAGATGAACGTGGCCAGGGTCACCACGTACCAATTCCAATGGGTGGATGGATTGGCACTTGGATAACACCCCGTCATTTTAGTGTTCGGTCCGGAAATTGTCCCGCCAAAAAGAGCTACGCGCGCACTGCAGCTCTTGCAGCTTTAGCGCACGGACTCCCTAAAGCTTCAGTGGACGTACGTCTCATATTCTGACAATAAATGCGACTTCATTACTCTGTACCTTATAAATTCTGCGACACTCACAAGGCTGCGCAAGAAGCAGCGCAAGACACACCATGAACAAAATACGCGCAATCCAGGCGCTGAACAAGAAAGAGATAGAGAATGGAATGTGAGTACTTGCTTTCCTCTCCAGCATTTCCAGAATCCGAGCTAACAGGTGTACTCAGTACTCCAGAAGCTTCCTGGCACACAGACTATCGAGACACTGCCTACGTCTACTTTGGCGGTCTTCCTTACGAATTATCCGAAGGCGATGTAATAGCGATTTTCTCACAATTTGGGGAGCCTGTTTTCTTAAAGTTGGCTCGCGACAAAGAGACTGGCAAGTCGAAGGGCTTTGGTTGGCTCAAGTATGAGGACCAGAGAAGTACCGACTTAGCCGTTGACAACCTTGGCGGAGCGGATATTGGTGGTCGCATGATCAGTGTCGACCATGCGCGATACAAAGCGCGGGATGATGAAGACCCCGAAGAGTTCAAGGTCGGCTGGGAGGACATGCTCAGGCGAGAGGGGCAAGCGCTGTCAGAAGATGAGAGTAGCGAGGAGGAAGTGAAGCGGCCGATGCTACCAGAAGAGCGAGAACTTGCGCTTCTGATGCAGGACCATGATGACGACGACCCCATGAAGGGCTTCCTGATCGAGGAGAAGAAGAAGGAAGTTGAAGAGGCACGACGCAAAGCAGAAAAGAAGGATCGAAAACACAAACACAGACATCATCGGTCACATAGATCGAGGAGAGATGGAAGCGAAGAAGACCAGCACCGTAGATCAAGACGAGACGAGACTCCCGAAGGCAAAGAGGGCCGACACCGTGATAAGGATTCCCGACGACACAGAGATGATGACCAAGACCGAGAAAGGAGACGCGATAGGGACAGAGATAGGCGAAGGGAGAGAAAAGAAGACGATGAAGACCGTCATCGTGACCGAGATCGGAGGAGAGACCGCGATCGAGAGCACAGAAGGCATAGGGAAGAAGACCATGTCGAGTCACGGCACAAACGACGTAGGGAAGAAGACCAGGAGGAGAAAACATCAAGGAGAAGGAGTAGAAGTCGATCGCCACGACGGCGCGACGATTAAAGCACATTATACTGTAAAACAATATTTCACTCGGTCCAAAGTAGCTCTACTTATCCTGAACCCCTCAAACGCCCATCCCAAGTTTGCCCAGCATTAAGAGTCATATCCGCTGTGATCATTAGTTTGCCTTGTAGAGTGGCCTCACTTGGCTCATGTGTTGCCCAAATAACGCTTCCAGCCTTCCCTTACGCAGTGTCGCTTTCCATCTTCTCCGTCAACAATAATGAACTTCTCCCATCGTGCATCATGCCCAGCACCTATAACAACAAGACTATCATCGCTGATCCAGCCAATAACGCCCTTTGGTGGCCGTGATGTTCCTAGAACAGTGCTCTCCGAGAAAGAAATGCCCCCTATAGCAGCTTCATCACCAGCCTCAAAAGGTGCTGAGCTGAAAGAGTAGACATCAGAAAAGACTCGAGGCATCAGTGGAATCTTGCTGAGGATACCCCACTTCCCCGTTCCGTCGCCTGGGTCTGATCCAGAAGCGCCGAGCTGTTGACTTCGGCTCATTCCTGGCTTTCGTGGATGCGGTACGTCGAAGATGTGAAGGGTGGACTTGTCAGAGGTACAGGCAAGCATCGTTCCACAGGGTGAGAAGGCAAGAGAAAAGATAGTCGCAGGGTCAATGCCACGCCGAAGTTCAGCAAGTCTTGCACAGTTGCTTGTAGCGTAAACACGGATTAGTGTACCTGTTTCGCTTGCACTGGCCAGAAGTTCGCCATCTGGGCTTAATGCGATGGCCTTGAGGGCTGAAGAGTGGGCCGGAATGATGCTGACATTCCCGGTCGCCAACTCGATGAGTTGTATCTGTCCAGCAGTTCGGCCGGGGAAGGCAAGCTTCTTCTCAGAAAGACAGCAAAGACCAAGGAGATTGTCTGCAGTTTCGTATACATGCAGTAAATCCGGAGGTTTGGCGAACGAGTAGACGCGCACGCTATTCTGAAGGACAACAGCAATGCGCTCCCGACCCAGTTGGACGCCGCGAATTGCCGTCAATGCTGTGATTTCCAAGGCAACTTTGCCCTTCATGTCGTCCCATATTATAGCCTATTTTCCGGTAAGCGAAGAGCTAGGCAGTTTGCCGTGATGGCTTACCTTGTTCATGGCAAACTTGGGTGACCTGCCGCCACCAACAAGAGCAAGGTAGTTGGTAGTTCCCATCATCTGAACGAGGCCGATGCCAGCATTGAAATCTATGAGGCTGTGAGGATGTGCGTGTATAAACTTTATATGATGGACATACCCCTCGAAGCCTTGAGAAGACATGATTTTGTGTGGAAGACTGAGCCGAGTGTTAGTGAAGGGAAGCACATAGGATTGTAGAAGTTGACTTACTGCAGATGCCTGAGCCTAGGCCTACAGAAAAGCAACTTGCATCGTTATTGAAAGACACTGACAGTACAGCTTCAGTACTAGAAGCCTCGATCGGTGGCCGTACATTCATCGTGAATGGGTTGATATGTACAAGTTCAGTCTCGGCCTACAGTACGGATCTAGTGTTTCCGGTGCGAGAGCTGAGAGGGGTAAGTCAAAGCTGAGGCGAACGTGATGTTGATGATGTCGAGAAACAACAAGTTTCGAGCAATAATGATTGACTGATGAAGTTTACCAGGGAATGTTACCATGAAATGAATAACATTTCGAAGGCGCCGAAACCTTATGTACTTATTATGTAGGTTTATTTGATGTCGCTTATAGATCCACCACTGATGAGTAGAGCCTGTACCTGCGTGACTGAGGCTTGATCTGGACTGCGGAGAGGCTTAGGAGAAACAGTTATAAATCTATGAATGAACAGAAAATTGCATAACAACAACGGTAGTAATGTGTCTTATATTCAAAAACAGGAGCATGGACAAAAGTGAGCTTTCGATGTTAGAGTAGCTCTTGTCTGTCTACTATGTCTCATCCACTGGACAACTCCCGTCGAACCGCGTCACGGTACCTAACAGCCACAGTCCTTACATCAGCCACAGATACCAACAATGTATTGTGGCGCAACATAAGAACAGGCTCTTTGAAGACTTGACTTTAAGTTTAGGGAGAAGACAATCTGCCTAATATTATTTAATATTACTCAAGAAACTTCCTTATTATATCGCAAAATATCAAAAGTTTATCTAAAGTATCCAGGACTAAAGTAGTCCTTGGTTGTTTTATCATTGCCGAGAGATTCTAACGAACAGAAGAATGATATCACGTGATGAAACAAAAAGAATGAGCTCCTGTTGAAGCAAGCGCCACAGCAAGCAAGGCTCGTTGAGGGTCCGCTAGTGGTCCCTTGGGCGGGAAGGCGGTCTGGCTTTACAGGGTGCTGAGGTGCAATGGCAGTGTGGATTTCGTAGTGGTAGGGGTGCACCTGCTTTGCTCCAGCTGGCATTTGTTCGCACTGGCACTCTAGCTTAGGCACTTCCCCTGAATCTTAGAGGAGGAACGATTGGCCAGGTGTGAAATTGCCCATACCCCTTGAGCAACCCAAGTCCAACACGACCCGTATCCTTCTCTCCTGGCTCTGGCTCCTCCTAGCCTCCTTTAACATTTTCCCCTTGGTTCAGGTTCCCCAAGTTTCCACTTCAACCACCGCAAGCAAAACCATACTCGATTTGAGTCGTTGCTCGACGTTTGGTACCTTCGATCTATTCCTGCCGTATCTCCTCAGCTTCACCTTAACTTCGCGAATCCAATCTTCAAGATGTCGTCCATGGGCGTATGTGCTATCTCTCCTCCGGTCCTGTCCTGTCCTATCGTGTGGATGCCACCGCCGTTGAAGCTACAGTTGCCCACATGATTCCATGGACCAAAACTTTGACGCGCCTACCATTTCAATTTCAGCTCGCTAACCCCTACTCCCCAATAGAAGATGATCCGTCGAAAGAAGAATGTCAAGAAGGGTATTCAGTTCTGCCTGATGGTCTGCGGTGCTTCAGGCACTGGTACGTGGCCCCTAGCGAGAATCGCTGCGACGACAGCTGCAATGGCCTCGCTGCGATTAATACATAGTATAGTACGTCAAGCTTACAATCGACAGGCCGTACCACCTTTGTCAACACACTTTGCGGGAAGAGCGTTCTCGATCATAAGGAGTCCGACGATGCTGGTAGCGCCCACGTTGAGGACGGTGTCAAGATCAAGCCCATCACTGTTGGTATGTACATCTAATTATCGTTGCGTGCATACATGATACTAATTGGACTATAGAGCTCGAGCTTGACGAGGAGGGCACTCGCATCTCCCTTACAATTGTCGACACCCCCGGCTTTGGTGACCAGATCGACAACGAGGCTAGGTAAGCTGGTATCGCAGTCCATGTTTTTACCCCTCCGCTAACCCAATGCCAGCTTCTCAGAGATCGTTGGCTACCTCGAGAGACAATATGATGATATTCTTGCCGAGGAGTCTCGTATCAAGCGTAACCCCCGCTTCAGAGACAACCGAGTCCACGCCATGCTTTACTTTATCACCCCCACTGGTCATGGGTATGTTTTATAAACTTCTAATTCTTCGGACGCGACTGACGTTTGCAGCCTCCGAGAACTCGACATCGAGCTCATGAAGCGCCTCGCCCCCCGTGTCAACGTTATCCCCGTTATTGGCCGCGCCGATTCGCTCACCCCCGCCGAGCTCGCCGAGTCCAAGAAGCTGGTTATGGAGGACATCGAGCACTACCGCATTCCCGTCTACAACTTCCCCTACGATATTGAGGAGGACGATGAGGATACCGTTGAGGAGAACGCTGAGCTCCGTGGCCTTATGCCTTTCGCTATCGTTGGATCTGAGGAGGTTGTTGAGATTGGTGGCCGCAAGGTTCGCGCTCGTCACTACCCCTGGGGTGTTGTCGAGGTTGACAACCCTCGTCACTCCGACTTCCTTGCCATTCGATCTGCCCTGCTTCACAGCCACTTGGCTGATTTGAAGGAAATCACCCACGACTTCTTGTACGAGAACTACCGTACCGAGAAGCTGTCTAAGAGCGTCGAGGGTGCTTCTGGAAAGTGAGTTCTTACCAAAGTCTCCGATATTGACCACAGCCGACTGACTTATTTTTAGTGCTGATAGCTCAATGAACCCTGAGGATCTTGCCTCTCAGTCAGTGCGCCTCAAGGAAGAGCAGCTCCGACGAGAGGAGGAGAAGCTCCGCGAGATCGAACTCAAGGTGCAGCGCGAGATCAACGAAAAGCGACAAGAGCTGCTGGCCCGCGAGTCCCAGCTCCGAGAGATCGAAGCCCGCATGCAACGAGAGGCTGCTTCTCAGGCCAATGCCACACCCGAGCCCAATGGCGAGGAGCCACTCAACTAGACCTATCATTTCACATTGAGGTCTTTTGCGGTGTTTCAAAAATGCGACGTTGGACTATTGTCTATTGCTGGCGTTGGTTTTTCCTCTCCCACGACTGAAGAGAAAGATGAGAATATTCCCCCTGCTGCTGAACAATTGAGTTGTCGTTTTCTTTTTTCTTCGCCGCCCTCCTTCACTCATTAAACGTCTGCTATTCTTAAAACGGTTCTGGGCATGCCATCTGGAAACAGTTTCCCTGGAAAACTGAAGGTGGGCGGCTACCCATTGTTTAGAAGCATTCTCAAGGGAGGGTCATTATGTATCTGGCTGTTGTAGGGACGCAGCGTGCGGGGAGTGTCTTAAAGGGATGAAGACGCCCTTGCGCTACGATACGATGCATGCAGACGACTGGCGGATAGGACATATTGCCGTGTCCTGGTGCCATCTTGTGGTCATATTAGACTTGTATTGGGCGTACATCGTTGTCCATTCTTGGGCGACATAACTTTGATTGTTTCTTTTTTCTAGTGGCCTTCTAATGCTGATATCAAATAAATTCAATATTTTTTGTAATACGACTGTGGTACTCCGAAACACTTGCTAGATGTTGTTACTTGGAAATATTCATGATATCTAGGTTTATGATGACGACTATCAATTATCCTGTCCTGAGTATAAGCTGCTTAGACAGCCCAATTAACGCGTAGTGAAGGAAACCAAACTTTCTCCAGAAACGCCAGGGAAAAAAACATAGTCTGACTAGAGAAACCCTCTGTAACACAACAATTAAGATAGCTCTTGAATCAGACACAGCTCGCATAACACAATCTTGGTGGCACAGTGATGTAAGTTAAGAACCGAGTCATCGATCCACAGGTCTCGTGTCTACGCCTCGTTAAACTTTTACAGGTCGGTATCGCTTAGTTATTAGACTGGCTGTTGAGAATGCGCAGAATAGCGAGGAAGAGGTTGATGATGTCGAGGTACAGGCTGATGGCAGCAGCGATCTCCTCCTCGACATGGTGGTGACGAAGGACAAGCTGGGTGTCGACGAGAATGTAGCCACTGAAAATGAGAGCAGCAAGGCCACCGTAGATGAGCTCGCCGGTAGAGCTGTAAGGGAAGAACATGGCCATGAAGCTGAAGATAACGAGACCCCACAGGGCACCGAAGAGGTAAGGCATCCATGATGTGAAGTCATACTTTGTCTGGCAAGCAAAGAGAGTGAGGAAGACAAAGATTCCGGCAGTAAGAACGACAGCGTTAAGAACGATGGATGTCTTGTAGAACGATACGATGACAGAGATGGTGTAGGCTTCGGCGAGGGTGAAGAGCGAGAGGAAGAGAAGGTTAGTTGGGTAAGACTTGCGCTTCCAGTAGGTCAAGCCCATGAAGATCATGGCACCAAAGAGCTGTAAATGTGTTAGTCGTTCACTTTCATGATCTCGCTACTTAGTGACAACTTACCGAAGCCCAAACGACACCGGGGTGGCTCTGGATCCAGTCCTTGTAACCAGTGCTGAAGAATGTGAGGCTGCTCACTCCAGCAGTAGCGAGGAGCTGGACAGTGAGGATGGTGTAGACCTTGCGAACGAACTGGTTGCGGATATCGACAGTGGCCTCAGCCACAGAGCCGCCGAACTAGACACCGTCATGTCAGCATTTCCTTATTCGTCTTGCATCGAACGTATCTGTTCCTACCTTGAAATCATCGGGAAGGTTGTCCTCGCTATCGCGGGGCGCACCAAATAGGCCTTGGGTCTCATCGCGAGCAGCCGAACCCTCAGCGTAGGCGGGGGGCGCGTGGGTGTAGTCGTCGGGGTCGCTCTGAGGAGCTGGCTGATACTTGGTGTTGGAAGCCATCGCGGCGATAAGTGCGCGTACGTAGCAAGAATTCCTTCGCTCGTTTGTGGGTTGATTTGGTTGAAAGAAAGGAAAGGTCGCAAGAGGGAGGTCTCGTAGGAGGGTTGGTTTTCGAGGTTAAAATGGTTAAAGTGATGGAAAGTTCGGGTCACTTCATCGATGATGCGAGGCCCATAGGGAAGTGCTTGGGAGAGAGGTCATGTGGGGGATAGAATGGGGAAACTGTGGCGTTTTAGGCAGCTCGGGAACGGGTGGCGGTGCAAACTATGGCGTCAGCTCTCCACTCCAAGGTAGCTAAAGCTCCATCAACCGACTTCACTTCACACTCTGGCCATTCACGTCTCATTGAAAATTCATTGTAGTTATAGAACTTGCATTGGTTTCTGTTGTTTGCTCCAAATCAGTCAACTCGAAGAATATCGGCTATAGTAAGTTACATCTCAGACTTTGCTCAATATGCCCAGATTGGACACTGTCCGCATTCATAGCCTTTCCGATATCACGCCTAGTCACTTGTAAATGTTTGCCCGTTCCAAAAACTAGCCTCCAGTCAGGCCAGACTTAGCGGCCTCAATTGGAAGCTGGGGTTTTCTGCTTTGCAGGGGGAGCAGGCGATCCCATGCTCAAGTTGAAAGCCGGAGGGTTCGATGATGGCCTGGGAGCCGGAGACGGACTCGGGGGCGTCATCTGCGGATAAGTACCGAAGGGGTCGTGGAAGTGACCACCTTGTGTCGATGGTGGCATCAAGGGGGTATAGGGGCCAGCAAGAGTTGCCGTCGTAAACTGGTCTGCAGTCGGCGTCGAAGCTGGGACCGGCATGAGGTCTCCTCCGCCATTCATTGCGGGCGAATGGTCCAGTCGTTGCAGATAAGAAGCTCGTTGCTGTGCTTGCTGAATGGGGGACCACGACTGGAAGCTCGGTCCTGGGAATGAACCTGGGTAAGCCAAACCAGAGGGAAGACTCTTCTGGTTATGCTTGTTCCCTCCGATACCGATAGACTTGTCTGTGGATCCAGTTTGGCACTCAAAGCGGGCTGTTGTGTGGTTCTTATTGGGTGTGAAACTACGCTGGTAGTCTCTTTGCAATGCTTTGATTTGCTGAGCATTCGGGATATGCTCATATAAGGCGTTGGATTGCCCGTTGAAGAGTCTGGAAGTTTGAAGTTGACTGGGGAGGCTTAGTGCAGGGCTTGCTATCGGAGGCTGATTGTCGTTATTGACCGGAAGTTTCAGGCAAGACGGCAGCCCTCTTGGAAGAGTAGGCTTCAATAGAGAAACATCGTAAACGGGCTTCTCTTCCGTTGTGATCTGGATCTGCTGTGGTGGAACTTGACTGACTTCCGTAGGTTGTGTCTGATCAGAGCTCTCCTGAGAAGATGAGATTGCAGAAGATGCCGATGACGGAGTGGACATCCCAGTAGCGGCAACAATTCGTCGTCGTTTCGGATTATCAACCGATGTCGAAGGTGGACAAGGAGAATCGACGCCATTACAAATACTGATGGTTGTTTGTCCAGACGACTGAGGGGGTCTCTTGTTCGAGTTTCCAGTCGAATACTCACCAGACGACTCGGGTTGGTGAGGTCTGACTTCTAGCTCACATGAGGGCTGTGGTGTTTCCGGGAATTGAACTAGGCTCATTTCCTGGTCCAGCGACTGGAAGTCTAGCAATTGTGTCTTTCGAGAGCTGATGGATTCGACACTTGATTCCCTTTGAGGGCTCAGTCTTTGGACAGTGTCCGCAAATTCGCTGAACTCTGGCGGTGGTGTAGGTTCTGAGACCAGCATTTGGAATGACGCTGGTAACGCTTTCTCCGAAATCCAATCCATGAGAACCTGGGCAATCTCATTGCTGTTCGTCTCAAGGAACATGAGATGCCCGTTGCCCAGTATGTTCTTGTCCTCGAGCTTGATCATGTCGCATTTGACGCCAGCTTGCAGCATGAAAGTCACTGTAGCCCAGTCGTACATGCCATGAGAGCTGGCGTGTGCCGTGACAACTGCGTTAGGCACTTTCTTGATATTGATGAGCTTGCGAGGCTTTGGAGCCTGTACGAAACACTCGCTCTTTCCATCAGGCGATGTAAGTTGGGTTATGTCGAGCGGATTCTTCTCAGGATGGTCATATCCTCCATGTGGATGTGCTGGAGGATCGTAGGTAAGAGGGATGTCCGTCAATCCGTAAATTCGGGTCCCTTCCTCGTACTGAATGAAAGGTGTGTACTGGCGGTAAGGATTTCGTTCTTTGGGGCACGCCGTGCCAAAAGGAGGTCCTGGTGGCTCGAGAACAATAACACCAGCGACGAGATCAGGTTCAACGTCGGTAGCCAGCCAAGCCGCAGCTCCACCTGATCCTTCGCCCACAAGGATAGACTTGCCGACATGACGCAGGAGTGCTTGGAGGGCATTCTGAGCGAGAGATTGGCGCTCTACTTTGTTGAGGTGAAGAGTCTCCAAGGAAGCGCAGTATTTGGCGAAAGTGGGATCTCCGCGCATTCCAGTCTATATATCGTCAGCGCTTGCATGAATAGACACAGATTTCCACACTTACGCCAGGCCATTTATCATGGAGTTTCGCCTTTGCATATTGGAGGGGCACGCCCACTTCTCGAGGTACACCAGGCGCAGTTAGGCTTGATTCTACTCCTCTTGCCGGGATAGAACTGGAGCTGAGGCCTGCTTCGCGGTAGATGTAGTGGGATGTTGTTAAAAAGTTGGAGCGGCCAGAAGGGGGCAAATCAACGATGAAGACTTGGAAGCCTTTGTTGAGGAAAAACGAGGCCCATCCTGGCTGACCATCTGGCTTGGTTGTCTAGACCTACGCGGAGTGAGAATTGGTTGGTGTGATAAATTCTGATAATATTGCTCACCTGACCAGTGTGAAAGTCTCCGTGGATGAGGATGATAGGATATGGATGGTGTCTCTCGAGAGGTTCCAAACCCTCGACGTACATCTGGCCAACGATGTTCTTCGCAGTCGCAAGCGTCGACCCCATGCTCCAGTCGACATTGACGAAGAATGTTGTTCGATAAGACGCTGCTTCTTCATTCTGCGCTGCCGGCTGTTGTGCTTCTTGTTGAAGATTGGGTAAGTCGGCGCTTTGGAGATCGTCAGGCTGAGAACTGGATAGGTCTGGGCGGGTTGGCGGGCCTCCAGAGATCTTCTCACCCGGTGGAGGAGAAGTTTGATTCATATTGAGTCGTTGGCTTGAGAGTTAGTCCCATGAAAAGAAACGCCTGGATCCGGACTTTGAGCGCCCGGTGTCGCTGAAGCTGCGCCTGGAAGAACGCCTGGAAACAAAGATGTGCTAGTGGAAAAGAAAGATTTGCTACGAGGCTGTAAGGATCAGCCGATCATCAGGTGATTGCGCGCCGACACTTCTCGGCGAAGAGAGTCAACGATTGTGGTTGAAGAAGAGAAGAGAGGTTAGTTTGCTTGAGCCTGAAAATAGAGGCAGACAGATAAGGCCCTGGCGAACCTGAGTGAAGGCGCCTTCAAAGAATATCCTCGCAAAGCCTAATAATAAGGCGCTAACTCTTGTTCGAGGCTATGTGAAGTCCAAGTTTCCTCTCGGTGGTCGAGACGAAAGATTCGGTGTTGAGATGAGAAGTGCGAGGTGTGAAGGAGTTACTCGCGGGTGGAGGATGAAAAACCGACCCTCAGATTCTGACGATGCATAACAACAGGTATTTCTGGTGCCTTCATTTGACCCTAAAAAGCCCTAAAGGATCACAATGGGTTTCCATGCTCCCTTTGTATGTGATTGCTTGGTCACCGCCAGTTGTCGACAGCCGTTGAATACCTAGGTACGAGACACCAAGACAAAGATTGTTCCCCGCGCACTCTAATAGGCGATGCAATGCACGGTCAATCATTTCAATTGTTTTTATACCCTTACAGAAACTCTGTTTCCTTCTTTGTCTGTCACCAATCTTTAGCTAAACGGAATTGATGTGCGAAAGCACCAAGTTCCATTGTTCAAAGATTCTCGAGTTTGTGGCCACACCATATAATCGCGAAAGAATGGATTCCCGGATGAGAAAACATATCTCAGTGTGACCTTTTGTATAAATTATTTCCTTGTCATCAGCAAGTGTGGCCGTAGTCCTCCATAAACGTAAATAGATCATGATATTAGAGCAGCCAGCTCTAGCAACTCAACCAGATAGCGCATCGTATCCCACAACAGCCAAGATCCATTTTCCTTACATCATGAGTTGAAGCTGAATGTTCACGGCGACACAGGCTCAGGAGCATCATCCTTCATATCCGGCACCCAGCCCTTAGGTCTCTCACTGCCTCTCACCACAAGTCCGTACCCTAGCCTCTCAACCTTTTTGACGCTCTGCCTCATCACAGCCATCTTTCCTCTCCAATCCTTGGTAGGCACATCAGGTAGGATCTCAAACTCACACCCAAGCTCTTGAATATCACTCATGATATTTCGCCCTCCATCTCCAGCCAATTCACCGTTCTGAGCTGTCGTGACAGTCGCAAAGCGCATCATCTCACCAAATAGATCGAAGATACCGAACATGTAGTCATTTGGCGTGAGTGCTATGTCGCTGGGCATAGCAGCTTGTGCTTGTGTGGGTGTGATGAGGGTTTGGTGGCGGAGGTAGTGTGCGAAAGAGAGAGCTTCAACGAACTCTTCAAGACAGCGGAGGGAGAAGGTGTAGCGATAGCGATTGACATTTTGGACATCTGGTGCGATTCCGTTGAGGAGTTTAGAGATTTCTTCGAGGCGTGTATCCATGTCTTGTTGGATGTGAGGAGGGAAGTCCTTGTTGAGATGTTTGACTCTGTGAAGTGTGAGCAGACTTTCACTGTGATACTTAGATTGGTGCTTAGGTACCTCTGAAGGGTAAAGATGCTATAAACTAGTTAGTAAAACTTGCACTTATGATAGAAGTCTTGGAAACTCACATCTTCTTACTCTGGGCAGTAACATCTCGCGATGCCTTCACAATCCTCTCCCGTCGATCATGGTGCTCATCTAGCTCATCACGAAACCCTTCAAACATATCATGGAACCTGCCCCTTGGCCCAGTCTGCTTCGGCGGGCCTGCATTCTTCACACGAGCATTGCCGTCACGGTCTCTCTTAACACCGCCCGACATTATGATTCGATTGTTGAAAGAAATGCAGCTTATAAGAAAAAGATGGTGGTCGATGATGTTGGAGGTTGGTTAGAGGCGGGTCTTGATTTGTTAGTGCGTGTTTGCAGGGATGACGTGAAATTTGTTAGTGGAGAGAGAGAGCAAGCTCTCCATTTTTGGAAGGCAGCTTGATTCGGACTGCGTTACCTCACTCAACATCAGCAAACTGCCATTGAGTGGCACGCTACAAGAGATTTCTTTTTTTGTGTGAATCGGAATAAGAGGAAAACTGAGATAACTTGAGACTTCACAATCTGTTATAAGCTATGGTCTTATAAGCTCTTTACCCCCTGTATCCTGTCTCATCTCAGTACACACTCACCGCCAACTGTCATCTTCACCTCATCTCAACCTTCACAATGCCTTCAATAACCCCCTTCCTACGCACAACGCCACTCTTCACTATATCTCTCTTCCTCCGCCTCGCTCTTCTCTTCTATGGCCTCTATCAAGATGCCCATTCAGCCCTGAAATACACAGACATCGACTACCTTGTCTTTACCGACGCTTCCCGCTTCGTCGCTGAAGGCTCATCACCATATGCCCGCGACACATATCGCTATACGCCTCTGCTCGCCTGGCTGCTCCTACCAACCGTCCGATTCTCCGCCTTTGGAAAGCTGGTCTTTGCTGCGGCTGATCTCTTGGCGGGATGGCTTATTCTGCGTGTGCTTAGACGGAGGGGTATGGATGAAGCTACTGCTGGGGGCTTTTCCGCGCTGTGGTTATGGAACCCTATGGTAGCGACTATCAGTACCCGTGGAAGTTCGGAAGGCCTCTTGGGCGTGTTGACGATGGGTTTATTATGGGCTGTTGAGCGACGAAAACTCAGTCTTGCTGCGATCATTCTTGGATTGTCGGTTCACTTCAAGATATACCCCTTCATCTATGCACCAGCTATTGTGTGGTGGATGGACGATGCTCGCTTAGGTAAAGAGACAAAGGCTGCTACTCGTCCTTCATCGTATAAGGGAGCAGTCTCAAACTTCTTCACGCCGGATCGCCTCAAGTTTGGACTTCTCAGTCTCATAACGTTCATGATTCTCAACCTCATCATGTTCTCCATGTAAGCCCCCATACACAAATATCAGAGCTACTTAGCTGACCAACTCGCAGTTATGAGACCCCGTTCCTTGTGCATACTTACTTTCACCATGTCACAAGGGTCGACCACCGTCACAACTTCTCACCTTACAATGTCCTGTTGTATCTCACCTCTGCCACTCCCGCTGATGCTGCACCTTCATTCCGTATCGAGTCGTTCGCTTTCCTCCCTCAACTTCTTCTATCCTGCGTTCTCATTCCTCTCGCTATTGCCAAGCGCGATCTTGCAACAGCCATGATGGCTCAGACATTTGCTTTCGTTACATTTAACAAAGTCTGTACCTCCCAAGTCAGTCACCCTCATCCTTGTTGCTCGTCTGTGAACTAACATATTATCAGTACTTCCTTTGGTACATGATCTTTTTACCACTTTATTTGCCCAACTCATCTTTCCTCCGCGACCCCAAGTTGGGCATCTCAGCACTGTTCCTCTGGGTAGTCTCCCAAGCTGCCTGGTTGCAACAAGGTTACCAGCTCGAGTTTCTCGGCATCAGTACCTTCTTCCCAGGCCTTTGGTTGGCCTCGCTCGGCTTCTTCTTGGTTAACTGCTGGATTCTGGGCGTCATCATTAGTGACGGTGCTGCTCAGTCAACACGATCGACCATTAAGTTCCACGTCGAATAAGAGCCACACGATGTCCCCCTTCCAAAAATTTGGAAATACAAAAGCAGGCGTGTAGTAAGCATGAATATTTTATTGATGATGAAGATAGCATAAATACTCAGACAATCTTATTCATCGATTATAATACCAAATCGCCAGTATCGTAGAGGGTATATGGGAAGCTCGTATTCCCTGAGATAAATTACCTCGCCGTCTTCTCTTCCATCTTCATGACTTTTCAACAGATCCCAATCAAATTCTTCTCAAAGCCAAGTAAAGCCATACCAGCAATTCCCGTGTATACATGCGCCCTCATAACTCCCAATCTCCTGGGTATGTGGTTTCAATTAACAGCTTCCTTTCCTTAGTTCCAAACCTTGAACGCCGTCTCAAAACAAAAAGAGTGATGTATCATATGTGTAATCCAGCCATATCGACCTTCTGGCTTTCTTCTGCGATTTAAGATTCATGGTTTTTTATATTGGCATGCATTCCTCACTGAATCGTGATGCCTGTCGCAAGAGATCGATAATTCGACAACTTGAGTGATGCGATCTTCGTCCTCGGGGGGTCAGGCGTAATGACCATTCTTCCGTCCTTGTTGTAAACAATGTTGCCAAAGGACTCACTCAGTTCTGGGAAATGAACATCGGGGCGTACGCGACCCATCTCGGCCAAAATCCTCTCGCTCCAGACGCCAGAGCAGGCACCCTTGTGCATAATGAAAAATGGGTTGAGAGGGGGTAGCACGGAGTCTAATATTCGCGTTTAGTAGAAATTCAAGGTTGGGCTGCGGAAAAACTTACCGAGATCAACGAACCGAATCCTCAGATAAACCACCTCCTTGAGCTTTTCCAGTGATCGAATCGCAGACAGTACCAACTTTTCAAAGGCATCGATGAATCCCATATCTTGAATGCCAGAGCCAGCCTCGTGGAAGCTTGTGTTGTATCGACAGCAATTCTTGACTGTCAAGTCCAAAGTCTTGAGTCGGGAAGTTCGTGAGTCAGTTGACCGCATAGCCACATCAAAAAAGTGGTGACAAACGCGGCCAGTGTAGGCGAAATTCTCTAATGAAGGTAACGCCTCGGCCATCCTTGCACAAATGTGCGTCTTCTGTACGACCTTCGAATAGAACGGGGGTATGACCCCCTCTCGACGATAGTCGCTCTCGAGGCAAAGACTCAAATTCGTGATGTGACGTGGGAGTTTTGGAAGAAACTCGGCCATCGTAATATAGCTCTTTGACTTTGGTTTGCTATAGGAGCCTTGCCACTCGTAAAGACCTGGTAAAGCACTCAAAACTGTGGCAAAGTCCTGATCATCTCGCATAAGATTCCACTGGCCCCTCGTGACTAGAGTCTGCACCGATTCGAGGACAGGCAGCGGCTTGTAAATGGCCGGATCGATCCTCTGCTCGGGAAAGTGAAGAACTCTGGGTGCCTTGCGTCGCTCTCCTCCTTCCAGGGTCAAAACTCTGGCCTGGGGTAGAGTCTGTCCAACGAATTGAAACACTTGCTCAAGGGTACAGTTGTTGCCAGGTAAAGTATATGTCGCGTTAGTCAGTCCTTCCATGGTTACTGTAGGAAGCGTCAGAGTATTCGACAGAGCGACGGGTCCGTAGGTTGGTTGGAAAACAGGGAACCAGATCTCAATGTGCTTGACATATGATTGCAGTTGCTCGTGCAGAGCAAGGTGAACCATAGCATCTTCCAGGCAGTCCACAGTCGCTTTTAGTTTAATATGACGATATAGCCGCTGTTGAACAAGAATCCGCCAAACATCGCTCACAAGCGCCAATTCCGTCAATTCCCTTCTCCTCGAATGTCGAAGTGCCGTCCCCCAACTCTTTGTAATACTCGATACGGCCATTGAACTTCGCGATGTAGCCGAGACTCGATACCCGAACAGGTGATCCAGTATCGCTTCATGTACCTCAATTGGCAGCTGGTTGAAGTCGGTTATAGGGCGAGGAAGGGCCACTGGCTCGTTATCGGGGAAAGCGGTAGAGTCAGTGGGAGTATCGTGGTCGGCGCCGTGTGGAGAGCCGCTGGAGCAGCAAGGCTTGGAGTGTCGGCGATCAGGGTGAGGAAATGGTGTGCTGCTCGGTCTCGTCGGAGGAACAAAATCGGATGTTTTGGCTTGATCGTGAGAAGGGCTGGACGAGCCGGGAGAGACAGGGTTGGAAGCGGTATTGAGAATGCCGTTCAGCATGGACGTAGCCATGATAGAGGCAAATTCTGTATCGGAGTCGGCATCATCGTCTCGATCATCGCTCAGGTCGTTCCTTCGTGATGTATAACTATCTCGGATAGGTAGAAGGGCAGATGCAGGAATCGAGGTAGGGCAAGGCGCACACGGGCCGGTGTGGCCATCATCGGCCGTATCCATAGGTTCACTGATAGCGTCTCCCATATCGATATCGGTATCGGTATCTGATTGCGATTCAAGTTTCTCCATAAGATGGCTCCAAGGCCGGCACGTGGTGCATCTCAATAAGGTCGGGCCGGGTTGGATGATGGCACTCGAATACAGGATACAGCGGCGGTTGTTGGATGAAGAGGAACAGATTATGGTTGACAGTGAACGAGGAGAAGGTAGGTAGTTTATCGGCCACAAGGTTCAAGGGCTGGAGATTAAGCCCCCAAAGATCCGGTTGATTCACGGTGGACACAGACGGACGGGAGAGGGAACGGGAGGGATGAGAAACAGGTGATTGACCTCCAGGGAGGGGAATGGTAGGTAATAAAAAAAGGAAATATGATGGGTTGCGATACGACAGCCGATGAGATGGGAACCCCGAAACCAGGGTCAGTCAATGAATGAACTCCACGGTTACGGACGAAGGCGACGAGAGTTGATTTCGTAAGATTGAGACTTTGAATAGGTAGGCAAAGAGAGTTTGGGGAGAGGCAGAAGAAAAGAAGATAGGTAGAGAAGAATTGGGGAATGGAGATGGAGATGGAAAACAGAATGACGGGAAGGGGAAGGGAAAGATGAGCCAGCCGTTGCGTTGAGTGGGAGTGGGAGTGAAATTGGAAATGAGAGGCGTTGATTAGCAGATGCTGCACTGCACTGAACTGCGCAGCACCGCACCGCACCGTACCTTCGGTACTCTACTGAGGTGCATAGCGAGCGAGCGAGAGACCCCCTCCCCTCACTCGCTTCTGCCTTTTTGCTAGCATATTATTTATTGTTGTTATTATTATATAGCTGAGTAACCGGCTGTTGGGCAACTGAACTGAACTAACTTGATTGTCGTATTTGTCTTCATTGTCTCTCCCTTCAGTACCCGTCTCACTACTCCACCAACCAAGCCTACCTAGGTAGGTACCTAGCTATGGTAGATTGCGTGGTGGTTGCAGCGTATATCCAGCCCAGCCCAGGTCTTGTTTTGTCTTGAGTGGCAGTGAAAGTCTTACATAGCCTTGTAAATGTGCATGCTCGCTCGTGTTGCAACCCGTCCATTCTGATCTGGCCTTTCAAGATAAGGCATCAATACTACCGTCCCCGTCATGGCCACGTCGTCACAACACATGACTCTGCTCATCTTGTTCATGCTGGCACAGGAATTGTCCACGACTGATCGTTATCAAAGAACCTAGTGGAGGTCGCGTGCTTAGCGGCAACGGATCTCCACAGCAAGAAGACAAGACAAGACATGTGGGAGTCCAGCTTTAATGGAATTGTGGTTGTAACTGCAGGTAACCTACCAGCAACGGTTCTCTAGCAACGGTCCAAAACAAATGGATCCAGATTCATCATTGTTATCTTGTTCATCTGGTAACAAACGCTGAAATTCTGTATGGCTGCTACAGGTTCCAGCGCCAGTAGATAAACCTTATGACCTCCACTCTCCTCTCTGCAGCCCAGCCCAGGCCATCAACCAAACATGGATCACATCCAGTCCACCCAGGCCCGATGAATGAACGCCTCACTTTGACCAAATGTGTCACCCCAGTCCTCAGCCCAGCCTCTACCTATTAAGGCGCCGACTGAATCAGCAACTTATCACGTCATTGGGCACAAGGCATCTCCAAACTCTATCCAACCTCCACCCAATGGTCAGATTCTTCTGTCCAGAATAGCCTCTCGCTCGAGCCAGCGCATCATGATTTCCACAACAACCCCCTGCAAGACCCTGAAAGTTATTCATCTGCTAGCGCCGCGCCAGGCGCGATCTCCTCGGCTTTGCTTATTTCCTGTTTATCCTCTTGTTGATGCGTTATCGATTCGTTAGTCTAGACGCTATCAAGGATTCATTCCAAGAGCCAGCCTTTTGTTCAAGGGAGCAGTCAAATGAAGTGAGTCTTTTGTCTGGAACACAATTGATTGTATTGAGACGCCATCAATCCAACATTATGATGTACTCTGTCCTCAGAGAGAGAGAAAAGATGAGATATCCAATGACACAGTCAAAAGAAGCCACTCAAAAGTCTCTGAAGCTTATCATAAAACCGTCTAATATTTTTGTCACTTACTATCATGGTGTCATACTCAAGGTCGCATCAAACTTTGATCATCATCGTGTACCCTATATCACCGTGCGTCGCCATTCAACTTTGAGTGTGTATTCGTAACCATGAGGCAGTGCATCATCAAGAAGCTAATTCTTTTCTTACATACTGGCTTGTTGAAGAAGATTGGCATGATCTTCCTCAACTGCCGATGATCTTCTCCTGCATGACGATCCCTGTCGTAAACAGCAATAGTTTGTAGATACTCCGCAAGTAAATGCCGAATCCTTATCTCATGTCTTGACTCACAGGATGGCTCTCCTTCAAGTGTATCAACATACGGTATCTTGAATTTATGAGAAGAACTTGAATGTTGTCTCAATTGAATCAGAACAGGTCTCGTTTCCTTGAAGGAGGATCAATGAATGTTTGTCGACCTCTAATCCTATCAGCGATTGAAGGTCAATTAACATAAACCGAACAACAATCTGATTCCTAACAGCCTTTTGGCTTACACGTCAAAAACGGGTATTCTCGAATTTTTCGTGCTTATAAATTAGATAT